CCTACAAACTCATCAGGGGAGATCAACAGCAAACAGGTAGAGCCCTTTTCTCCCCAGCACCACCTGGGGTAACAAGGAACAATGGTAATAAGCTGATGGAGAATAGGTTTAGGTTAGAGATCAGAAGGCAATATTTTACAGTTAGGGTGGCCAGAATCTGGAACCAGCTTCCCAGGGAAGTGGTCCTCTCCCCTTCCTTGGGCAAATTCAGGAGGAGGTTAGATGATCACCTGTCTGGGGTCTTGTGAACCCACCATTCATTCCTGCCCGTGGCAGGGGGTCAGGCTAGATGATCTGTTCAGGTCCCTCCTGACCCTAGCTACTATGAAACTATGAAAAGAGAAGATCTCCTGGCTTTAATCCTCCTGGGAGAATGCCATGATCCAAGAGGATGTGGAGCCTAGGATGGTTGTGGCCATGGGTGTAAGTGGAGGTCTGACCTCATCAGCAGGGTCCCACCTGCACTTTCCCATGTCCTTAGGCACTTGCTGGAGCTGCCATGGGACACAAGCAGCCATTTGGCCTCTCTCTTTGCAGCAAGTGAGGCTGCCTGCATCCCCACACGGGGCCAGACCCATTTTGGCTAGTAGGGGCCCTAGTAAACTGAGGTGCCTCCTTCTGCTCCTATTCCACCCTCGTTGAGGCACTGACCAAAATGCTTACACACCTACTTCTGTAACACAGGATCCTCTTCTCCTTAAGACTACGTCACAAAAACAGTGGGAACTGCATTTGGGAAGCCGGCCTGAAGTCAGGCCTTGTGAAGTCATATCGTGTGACCTTAACTGATCTGCACCCATGCTCCCCTCTTGGAAAGGGGTGGTGAGGATTTCAGTTCCTTTGACATACACCCCCTCACCTATATGTGTTGCCCCCAACCTGCACAGCCACTTACACATTCAACATCAATGAAATATGAAAAGTGTGAAAGCTTGGACATAAAATAGAAATGCAGGACAGTGGCTGGGGCAAGACTGGATTGTGGTAACAAGACTGCCACAAGAAAATCAAACTCCACTAATGGCTTGTAACCCATTAGGCATTGAGACAGCCATTCGCAGGGCATACGTTCTTGAATGGCGAAATCCGTGAATAAGGCACTGTGTTCATGAATGCAACGCAGTCTGCATTCATGAATGCAGCGACCCCAGCGGCTGGGGAGGGGGGCACAGCTCTGGCGGTTTTGGAGGGAGTGCAGGGGCGGGAGCCCAGCAGCAGCAAGCACAGAGCTCCCGAGGAGCTCCTGTAAGTGTATGAAGTGTATTTAAAATGCAGGTTCAGCATTCATGAATATTTGAAACCATGAATGCCGAACCCGCAAATAGCATGGGTTTCCTGTACATGCATTTCAATTGACCTAGCAGCTAAAGAAAACAAAAGGCTATATATGCATCTCAAAAGAAACCTGTAAAAGGTACACTGAATACAGGGAGGATGTTCTGTATCCCACCGTCTCACATTGCTCAAACCAGGAATCCAATGTCCCTCTAAGGTGCTAGAAATGTGCAAGCCATTCACTGAATGTCTGCAGTTTGGTAAATAGACCACCACCACCAGTACAAGCTCCCCATTGATATACAAGCACCCCAAAACAGGTTTGGTGGTGACACCTCTAAGTATCCTGTCGGACACTCAAAGCCCATCATCTGTGATCGACTCATTACAGGGGCCACAGATACAGTCTTTACACCTAGACAATCAAGAACAGGAGCCCGGCAATTAAGAGTTGTGATATGATAATCAACCTTTTGTTCAGGCTTAAATAGGCCAAACATCAAGCAAATTGCCTTGAAGAAACAGTATAAAAGCTAAGCAAATTTGTCAGCGAGGTATGATCCTGCAGAGTTGACAGCAGGACATGGCACCTCCAACACCGGAGGGTTAAAAAAAACCCACGGAAGAGGGGCTGAGAAGCAAAACCTGCCACGCTGGACTCAGGAGGTGGCAGCTGTGCTCCTTGCAGACCACGATGGGCATGTGCAGGTCTAGGGAGGGGTGATGTAGTGGGGAGGAGAGGTGAGGTCAGGGCGGAGGACAAGAAATGCTTCCCCAGCCATAAATGTCCTCCTTCCTGCAACGCTGGTGCCTGACATACCAGAATCCCGGGGGCCAGGATGGAGGAGGAAGGTGGGAGCTGGCAAGGACAGTCCCTGGGTGTCTTTTGGAGTCAGTTGTCTTGGAGAGGCACCCTATTTTGGAGCCATTTCTTCTCCCCCTTGAAGCATAGATCACTTTTAGAGAATGATGGCAGAAACACAGGCTCCAAGGCTGATGCAAAGGGATCCCCCACCAGTTCTTCCAGCATCTAGACTGGCCTCTGCCTCAGGTATTTCCTCTTAGCCCCTCCCCACATCAAACCTTGGGGCTAGCCTTTGCTCCTCTGGGGTCTGCAGGTCCATAGAAGGGCCGAGGCTGGGTGAACTCTTGCTGCAGTCCACCAGCACGAGGCTGCTTGCCTCAAGGCAGCCAATGGTGGGCAATGATCAGGTGGGCATACCCAAACACTTTCCTGCATTGCCCC